GGCGTTATTATTTGACAGAAATACCAAGTTTACGTTATTACATTTGATTTGAATTACCAGTTGGATATTAGTATTCAAGGTTTGTTTATACACATCGATCATTGCTGCGTGCACGTGGATTGAGTTTCACCGAAATTGGAGATTGTCACGCAAATATTGTATTTGCATCCGATGAGAGTATGCCATTACGATGTAGTATATCTTCATTTAAAGAATAGTGTGATTGGGGGGAGGGAGTCAGTAGATTGGAATCATGCGTGCTTGGATTCAGTTGGGGACAAGGGTTAATAAATGAATTGGCTTCGTGGAAAAACTGGATTGGAAGTCTCGTGGGATTTGCGCGGTTTTAATCGTGCGATTTCGTAGATAATTCGAACAGGTGTTGTTTGGTGGTTGATGTGGCGTGCGTTCTTCGGCCTGGGTCTTTCACCTCTTCGTCTCCAGAGGGAACCAGAGGAGTATGAGAAAGACAGAGCGAAAGAGTGAAAGAGATTGGTCTCCTCCTTTGCAGAATTCTCAATTTATGCGAGCCTCGGCGGCGTTAAATCTTCGACATTTACTATCTGCTAGATGACGATGATGGGATCAACCCATCCAATCGTTCTACGTCGGCCTCGGCAGCAGCAGCATCAGAAGAAGAGAAGAACACGGTGCGCGCATTTATATAATAATAATATGCATGCAAACGCGTCGCATTTGGAGGAAGGACGCTGGAGGGATGCTGGAGGAGCGAAAGGAAGAAGTAGAAGAAGAAGAGGTGGACGACGGCGTATCTCTCGTAACTTATGCGTTTTATTATCAATGTCGCTCGTAACGGCGATATGACAAGTGAGATACAAGCCGCAGTAAATACCAAATAACTGGCTGTAAACTAACAATCTCCGCTCCTCGTCCTGTTTCGCCCCCCGTTCATGTTCTGCATGTGTACGTCCATGGCGAAAACCATAAATCCAATCTCTCCAACTGCGGAAACAGATCTCGTTGCTCTTTCGCTCCCGCTCACCAGCAGCCATCTCTTTCTCTCCTCATCCTCATCCTCGACTCGTCCTCACCACTCTCAAGCTCCATCCCAACTAATTGGTCACATCATCATCTCTAATTAAGTAAGCTAGGTGGAAAACAATTAATCCCAACAGCAGCAGCAGCAGCAGCAGTAACAGCAACAACACACAAATAGATGCCAACCGCTGATAGTTCTGTTTGTTTCTCCGTTTGTTTGTTCTTCCTCCTACTTCATTATTAAATCATGTGAATTGGAAGGAACGGAAGCATTTTCCCCTCTCGGAAGAAACGTGTAATTTCATCATCATCATCATCAACCATCAACCTCCTCCTTCTTCTTCTTCTACTTCAACTTCGATGGAGGTGGAAAAGTCTTCGTCGAGGACGAAAAAACGTAAAAATAAAATATAAAAGGAGAGAGAAACGCTCACTGTTTACAATTTAAATTGCTAATGGATAGTTAGAGTGTACCTTAAGTATAGGCTGCTGCCGCTGCGCGAAACCTTTTTCCTCTTCTTCGCCGTCTCTTGCCTCCAATTAATTCGCGTTTGCTGAAAAGTGCCGGCCCCTTTCATACAAAAAAAAATAAAACGAAACGAAGCAAAATGAAAGAAGCAATTAGAAATTCCATCTTATTCCCCTTAAAAGGGAATGATTAGCATACATTTATCAAACCGCTTATTAAGTCTATTGTAGAGTAAACAAACTTCGTGACTTCTTTGAGGACCAGCCACCCGCGAAGCATGGGAATAACCCCCTAAAAAAAATGATTGCAGCCAAATAATTATCTTACATAAATTGTTTATTTTTTACTAGGCAAATTGTTATATTAGTATTTTGTAATATAAACATTTTTTTTACTTCGTAAATTAAGTATTTAACTTTACCTCTGATAACGAAGTTTGCAATTTCAAGTCTCATTTACAATAAAAAAAATCCTAATTTAAGGCTTTCTTTCTTTTTACGACCCCATTAGAGTCATTTTTACCTCTGCAAACGAAGAAACTTAACTAAATCCTATTTGTTAATCGAGGTACGATTTTAATGAAATCTATTTTTCAGAAATATTGCCTAACTTTTGTTCCTAAAATAACTATTTTTCTAATTAAAAAAACTCATTTTCCTGAAATAACAATTTGTATTGGGACATTAATATTTCGAATTCCATTCTTCGCATTGCAGTAAACCAGTCTCGGTTTCGATCTCGATTAACATTATTTATTGTTAACTACTAAGTACTAACGTATGCGTCGCATTATCGAGCCTAGTCGTTCGCAGTTTAGATCTGTAATATTATAACTTCCTGCATTTACCAATTGATCAATGATTATTATCTGTTTAGTGCATCGCTTCTAGCAAATATATGCATTTAACGCAACTTAATTACAAAATTATTTAATCTTTGCAGTCTCCAATAATAATAATAATAATACCTATCTTTATTACAACGTATAAACAATAGTAAAAATCGATTGTAGTTTAGATTTATGTAATAAAGTACAAGTCATAACATTACATCAACCAATACAATTGGCCATTTAACCTTAAAGATCATTACTGTATAATAAAAGATCATTCACATTTGTTATTTTAAATCGAAACATATTTTTTTTTGTTAATATTTTATTACAAATTAAAATCATGTTCATATTATATAATGTTATACAATTATTAAGTAAGTAATGTAAATATATCCAATTACTTGTCTATTTGCTAGATTTATCCTATTTAAAAGTTATTTTTATCTCTTTTCAAAACTGATCTGTTGTACATCTATACTTTATATTTAAAAACTTTTAAATTATTTTGAGAAAATTTTCGTTGTTGCTGAAAATAAAGTAAAAATATTCGAAAATGAATTAAAAATAATATGGAAAAGCCTATTATTAACTTATGTAAGTTAAGCATCTTATGTAGAAGTTAATACTCGGATGGGTGACGTTAGAGTTAAAGAAACGTGTTGTTGATATCTTGCATTAATTAAATGCACGTACTTTTCTACATTCCAAGAAATTGTGTATAATTACATAAAAATGGTTAAGCTCAGTTTATAAATGTATTTTTTTGGTTATATAACAGTCGAACGTATGTTTCCTTAATTATGACCGTGTCTTGGTCAGATTGATCTATTCAAATGGGTCATTGTAGCATGTGTTGGTAATTTCCACATTTTATTAAGGTATTTAGAAGAGTCTCTTAAAAAATTAAAGAAAACAAGAAAAACGAACTAGCCGTGAGATAAGAAACAATTGAGGCGACTTAATTGCTCAGCTACAAGTTAAATGTTACAATAACTCTATCTTGGTATTACGTAAAGATACATTTTAGATTGTTCGGATGATATCGTAAAACCATTTCTGTATTTGTCTTCGATTTATTGATCTATGCAAATGGGAGGATCGTCGCTCCTCATCCTCGATCACCTTTTTTTTCATCTTCTCTTTTATTTCTTATTTTCACGGGGGATTTTGTAATTTTGGTCGATGGACCGGTCATCTATTATTAGAGGTTTTCATCTGCGGGTCCCGCGCGTCCGACTCAATTTAGATTAATTGCCGATAGGTCCTCTCCGGTCCTCCGGTTCTTTGGTTCTTCCTGCCTCCTCAGACATTGTCGGAGTGGCGGAGCGAAGAAGGAATTATCATCGGGGCCCCTCCACCACATATGGTCCGTTTAACACGGGACCTTATCTGATCCTCACGTGTTTGTTATTCGTTTAGGATGAAGAAGTGTATTTGATTATATTCCCTTTCTTCTTTTGCTGCTGCTGTTGTTGTTGCTGCTTTTTAGTGGTCTTCTCAATTTCGGGATTAAATACCGATGTCAAGGATTTATAGACTACAATTAATTACAATCCAAATCGTGGAATTCATTCAAAAGGTTTTTAGTATCTCAAACAAAAATACAATTGCTGTATAGAATCCATATGATGTTAGCAAAGCCTCATTAAGGTTGTTGTGGGCCCTTCCTAACAGACCTTTGTATTTTTGAATTCTCCTTACAATATTTTTCTGTGGGCCCCAAAAATATCGTGGATAAGACGGTTCTGGATGTGTTTGGGCGCCAATGTAAATGGTGGCAACACCGTGCGCCGGAAAAAAGAGTAACGCTAGGCTTGTAAAGATAAGAAAGAATATATACGAGTTAAAAGTGAGTCGAACAGAATTATTGTTGTTGAATATACGTTTAGAGTTGGTCGTATATAGTTTATTTTATTATTCACCCACACTTGGTCCTTCGATAAAACAAACAACACGAAATGCCTGCACCCCAGATTATGATTGGGGCAAACGGAGAGATTATCATCGACGAGAAGAGTTTGCTGATCGAGAGTTCCGACGTGGCGAAAAATCGAGAAGTCCTGAAGAACTCTAGGGTCATCGACGGCGATAATCTTGACTCTCCGTACGCGACGTACAGACGCGCTAAAAAGTACAAAGGTTGGAGCAACGTGGAGACGCTCAGATTCTACAAAGCAATAAACACAATTGGAACTGACTTCTCCATGATGGTGCAGCTGTTCCCCGGCCGAACACGTCAGGATTTGAAGGTCAAATTCAAGGCGGAGGAGCGGCGCAACAAGGATCTAATTGATAAAGCTGTGTACAATCCAATTACGTTCGATTTGACTGATATGTTAAGAGAGGTGGAAATGGAGGAGTTTGAGAAGAAGTAGAACCAGAAGCGTCTGAAGGAAATTGAAGAATTCAAGCAACAGAAAGCAGAGACTAGATGTAGCAAGAGGAAAGGAAGAAGGAAGTTCTTAAAGATGCTCGTATTGATGAGGACGAACCTGACGAACCTCAGGTGTCCTCAGGACACTAATGATAGTCAAAATAGTTTAGGGTCGGACAGTATGCAATGCAGCTTAGAAACATCCTATGAAGATGCAGATTTATTCGAGAATAGCGAAGATTTGGTACCTGGGTCGATAATTCACGTGACTGAAAAGAATGAGGACGGCGTGGATAGGATTTATATTATAGGTGAGCAAGATATTATAGAATAGTAGTTTGAAGATCCGGAGTGTCCGCGACTGCAGCCGGTTGTTCGACGACGGTGCTGCTATCCTTGCTAGCCTCATCATCGTTATCACTATCGAATAAACTATTGATACCACCATCGTGGTACTTCTTCGCACTCATCTTCGGCCTCTTATATACAGGTTCGTCCTCATCACTACGAACATCTTTAAGAACTTCCTTCTTCTTTTTCCTCTTGCTACATCTAGTCTCGGCTTTCTGTTGCTTGAATTCTTCAATTTCCTTCAGACGCTTCTGGTTCTGCTTCTTCTCAAACTCCTCCATTTCCACCTCTCTTAACATATCAGTCAAATCGAACGTAATTGGATTGTACACAGCTTTATCAATTAGATCCTTGTTGCGCCGCTCCTCCGCCTTGAATTTGACCTTCAAATCCTGACGTGTTCGGCCGGGGAACAACTGCACCATCATGGAGAAGTCAGTTCCAATTGTGTTTATTGCTTTGTAGAATCTGAGCGTCTCCACGTTGCTCCAACCTAAGTACTTTTTAGCGCGTCTGTACGTCGCGTACGGAGAGTCAAGATTATCGCCGTCGATGACCCTAGAGTTATTCAGGACTTCTCGATTTTTCGCCACGTCGGAACTCTCGATCAGCAAACTCTTCTCGTCGATGATAATCTCTCCGTTTGCCCCAATCATAATCTGGGGTGCAGGCATTTCGTGTTGTTTGTTTTATCGAAGGACCAAGTGTGGGTGAATAATAAAATAAACTATATACGACCAACTCTAAACGTATATTCAACAACAATAATTCTGTTCGACTCTTTATCTTTACAAGCCTAGCGTTACTCTTTTTTCCGGCGCACGGTGTTGCCACCATTTACATTGGCGCCCAAACAGGATGCTTGCAGTAAAACAGATTCCAAAACTTAAACATAATTGATAATTAATGAATACTTGGAACACATTTAATTAAAATTCAATCAAATTCAGAATATTTTTCTTGAGTAATAATTCTATAAACATTATTATAAAATACATAACTGTAGAACACATACAATATGAAATTTGAATATATATATCGGGGTAAAAGTTCATTCAGAAAGAAAAACTTCTAAAAAATACTCTGAAATGATAGAATTAATATTGGTCTAATTTTGCTATCATTACATAACTACAAAGATTTGGTTTTAGGCAAAACTAATTTTATTATTTCATGTTTTAATCGTTATTCTTCTTGTATAGTAAATAACTAAATGTGTAATAAAATAAAGAAATATTAGATTGTTTTGAGTTCCAAAATAAAAACATTAACCGTTAAAGTGAAGATTTTATGCGAGGCTAATGTAAATTTTCAATTAGATCCGCTTCTTCGGGTGGCATAAATTTCGGCGCACAACGGAATTAAGTACGCATTTTTACGGTCCTGCTCATATTTTTGCTCACCGTTCTTCTTTATCCTTTTTTTTGTTGTTGTTCTTTTCATTGCGTCTTTACATTATGCAGTGCGCAGCGAGCACTTTTATTAGTCGATAAATTCGTATCCGTTCTCGGGGTGTCGCTAATTCCTGTTACGAAATGTCCAGAGACCAGGAAAAGCGAGTCTCTTCCGCAAAAACCGTTTTTATAACCCTCCAGCAGAAGAGGCCACCACCACAGTTAATGGCACATAAACGGACGCAAATCGAGGTCCGCTTTTACTGCCGCATAAAAACACCGAGTTTATGGACCTTCATTTAATGTTCGAATATTATTATGAGCCCTTTACATACCGGATCATCCTGTGGATTAAAGCGTGATGATCACCTTCAATTCAGTTTGATGGTTATATAACGCTCTTCGTTGTTAATTAGGACGATTGTTAGTGATTTGGAAAAGATGAGGAGTTCTTTTGGTGCGTGTTACCTTTTGATTGAATTTGATGATGGAATTCCGGTCTTTGTAGTTCATTAATGTCGGGTGGTGTTGCTTTGTCGGTCTTACGGTTGTATGTGTTGAAAGGACGCAAATCAAATCGTTTTTTCTGGTTTGTAGTAGATATCCTTACAAATATGTACTTTGAATCCGGGATTTATGGATTCATCCTTTTTTGATTGAAATTATTAATGAAATATTTCTTCACTTCATTAATATATCGCAAATTGAATCATTTATCTGGTTTATGTCTCTGTCTATATCGAAATCTCGACAACCGAAATGCCGACAACCAAATTCCCGACAGTATCAAAATCCTGACAATCATAATTCTGACAATCATAATCCCGACAGTATCAAAATTCCTATATAATCGCCACCGACAATTGTAGTCCTTTGTTCGATTCAATTTGTTGACGGAACGCTGATAATCACCGACAATTCTTTAACTTGTCGTTCTTGCTGATAATAGCATCCAAAACATGTCACTTTATACTGATTTATAAAGCATGACTATCCTAATTAATACATTACATATTTTGAATCCTGGATATTTCCATAGATAAGTTCTCGGTGGCAATCGCAAGTCCGACAACCGACATCCCGTCTATTGAAATCCCGACGTTCGAAATCCCGAGTGTATCTAAATCCCGACTTTCGAAATCCCGAATATATCGAAATCCCGACAATCAAAATCCCGACTATATTGAAATCCCGACTATATTGAAACCCCGACTATATCAAAATCCCGACAGTGCCTTTCATTATTATAAATTTCTACAATAACATTTTTATGGTAGTCGGGATTTCGATATAGTCGGGATTTATAAAGCATGACTATCCTAATTAATACATTACATATTTTGAATCCTGGATATTTCCATAGATAAGTTCTCGGTGGCAATCACAAGCCCGACAACCGAAATCCCCATGTTCAAAATCCCAACGTTCGAAATCCCGAGTGTATCGAAATCCCGACAGTGCCTTTCATTATTATAAATTTCTACAATAACATTTTTATGGTAGTCGGGATTTTGATTGTCGGGATTTCGATATATTCGAGATTTCGATTGGATTTTGATTATCGGGATTATGGTAGTCGGAATTTCAAGCGTCGGGATTTTAATACAGCCGGGATTTCGAACGTCGGGATTTCGATACACTCGGGTTTTCGAACATCGGGATTTCAATAGACGGTCTTTCGGTTGTCGGGCTTGCGATATAGACCCATAAGTTCTCTTTAAATTTATTTTTTAACGGAATATTTGTGTTTGTGACCACCAAAATTGTATTGTTGTTTCGTCAGTCTCGTAATTAAAAGCACGCATATAAAGTTTATTGTTATTGGTATATGTTGGATGTTTATTCGAATATTATGCACACTTTTGAAGCAGGATTTTCCTATATATTATTCCATTAAATTTTATGACAGTATTCACAGATGTTGATTTTTCATTGTCGGTCTTACGGTAAAACGTACGCAAATTCAGTCCATTTTTAAAGCTTTATTGTTGATATGTATGTGAATATCATACTTATTTTAAATTTTTAGATTATACCATGGATTAGTCTACTTTTTATTAAAATTAGTGAAACTTTTACAGACCTGATTTTATACCTATTTAATTTTGCTAAAGTTAAATTTACCAAAATTTAGACTATTTCTACTAGTTTCTTAGAATTATAAATAATTGGTTTAAGAAAATTTAGATTTTAATGATGTAAGGTCTCGCGTTTAGATGATCCATTTTGATTCTAAACTAGCTTCGAATACTGGATAATTCTTATTATTGATAGACGATTTAATTTGATGATATAGTGATTTAATTGTGATATTGCATTGTCGGATTTACGATTAATTTTTTTTTATTGGTTGATTATCGTTCTAACATTATACACCCTTCGAATACTATATGATCCTTTGGATTAGTGCGTGTTCACCTTCGATGGAATTCAATGATAGAATTTAGTTAATCAAGTCGATTGTTGATCTTTCGGTAGGAAGAAGCGAGTAGTCCTTCGGTGGTGGTGGTTTATTGTTGTACGCGCGGTTTTGTTATATTGTTAGCGGTTGTTGGAGAGGAGATCCGAAAATGAATAATAGACGCAGGGAAATTCCGAGCATTATATAAATAAAAATTAATTAGCCGCTGCAATCGGGATTGGCCAGGCCTCTTTCGGAATCCAACAACAAGGTGGATTGATTGCGTCGATAATAGTTCGTCCGTTTTAAAATATTAATAGAATTTCTATAATTACGAATCTAATGAGACCATTTATAATTAAAACCCCGTTTAAACGCATCGACGTCGATTAATCGCCTCTCGCGCACTAACTACCTACTACTATGAACCATCGCATCGCATCTCTCTTTGCATCCATTCCATACGCTATTAGGCATGACCATCGTCTGCTGCAACTCCATCCGTTTCTTTCCTCCTCCTCTTCCTCATCTTTCACCTCATCCTCCTACTCCTCTCGTTAACTAGATGAATTAAAAGCTCGCACATGCAAAGACAGATTATGGAATATATACATTTTCTTATGATGAAGTCTTCAAGAATTATTTAGCCAGACTACAGTTTAAATTTCTAGTTGAGATCTCTGTAAGTAAAAAGGAGGTATACAATTTCTAATTACAAGGTCAATGAGTAAAATTAAGTTCAATTTGTTAGTGCTATTCTTTTACCATTGATCATATATGTTAGTATAGTGGTGGGAAAATGTGGCTCTTTTGAGAAGAAATTGCGGCTCCCAGCTTTCACAGTGGTGACTATATTGCGGTTGAGTGCGGCTCCCTAGATTTTTCTAAACTTTGTTCCCAATTGGTTGCAGACCTCCGATATTGTATAAAAGATGATTGGGTAACAAATTATTTTATGCAACAATAAATCTGATATTTTGAACATGCCTAGTAGGGCATTATTATAATTTTGTAGAAAATGTACAGCAATGAGGCATTTAATTTGGTTGGTATGTCAAGGGATGAATCTTGATAGTCCATACCATCTGATGTTGATTCAGTTGACGAAGTTGTCTGATTTGTTGGGTCTAGAAATTTATTAATTTCTGGTAGGCTTTCAAATTTTGCACTAATAAAAGAAGTTTACTATTTCGATCAACCAAGATAATTTGGTTTATATAGGTTCTGTTTAACTATAGTTTTAATTATTTATATAAATATTAATGTTATTATAAGTAATATCCTGAAATTAAACAGAATTTCTATAAAGATCATTTAAGATAACTTGATGGAAAGTTAGATTTTTTTGTGTTGTCGAATTAGTAGGAAATAATAGTTGTTTTAATGTACTACCTTATTGGCTATGAACTATCTCATCACATCACTCATTGGTTAAATTCCTTCCGCTATTAGACATAAGCATCATCTGCTGCAAGTACATCCAGTTCTTCTCCAATCCTCTCCTCCTCTCGTTACTGAAATCACATCGTCGATGATTGCTTGTTTAACGGGCGAAATTAAATGCGTGCGCTTGTGTGTGTGTTTGTGAAACAACAAGGTGTATGAAAAGAGCAGAAAACAGCGGATGGTTAAATAAATAAGTACATAAATAAATGAATGAAATTGGGGCGGCGGCGGCCGTCGTCCGGCTGTGACGGGGGGGAGGCGACGTTGGACCCTCCCCCTCTGGTTTCTCTTCGGCGCTCGCCGATGAAGAGTTAATAGTTCGTGGCATCGGGCCCATTATTTTAATTGGGGATTCGCCCGTAATTACAACGTCTGGATTGGACCTGGGACTAAAGGCAGGCGTAATTGCAGCTTAAACAAACACGAGACGGATGAGAAAATCGACCACACCAGAAATTTCGAAACCTCATCGATGATGATGATGATGATGCCACGATGATGATGATGGTGGCGGTGGCGGCAACGAAGGCGGCGGTTGTGCTTTACGCACATGCATTCGTCTTCACGAAATTTCGTGCGCCCTTCATTTCCAATGCAAACCACTTAACTTCAACGAGAATAAATACATTTGCTTAAGATTACATTCCATTAACCATGCTTCAAGCTACAACAACGACAACTTTAACGTAACTTATCTTCATACATTTTACAATATCTTCGAAAAGTAAAAATTTATTTGAAAAATTAGTAATTTTAATTATTATTAAGAATAAATTATTTTTCTTAGATATATTTAACATCATGTGTTAAGAACTTATTTTTTTTTAATTTCTTTAACCTTAAGCTATAAACGAGGTCCTACTGTAGTTCTAAATTTATAGTTGTGACATAACCATTTTTTGTTTAGATTTTACCGAATAGTATTTTTTTAATTATTCGTGATTAATTGTTGAAATTTTTGATTTTAATATATTTTTTTGGTTTTGAATTTTTTACTTTTGTTACTTTACTATTTTACAAATATTTTTGTCTGTTACAGTGTCATAATATGTTAATTTTCAGATTTAGTTGTTAATTTCAAATACTTAATTGCCAAAATAATGAGTAACTATTTTTTTTAACAATTTTGCAAATTTGTCCTTGCTATTAAAAGTTATAAGAAATATAGTAATTATTGCAAAAGTTAGTGACATTAATATGTTTAAGTTGGTACATAAGACAGCTGACAGTTATAGTCCATGATAACCAACTATTTGTTAAAATTGTGGATTGTGTAGTAGTTGGTACAGCTGACAGTTATTTATGACTGCTCTCGCGTATAGTGTTGATGCAGCATTACTGAGATTACATAATTGATCATAATTTTTCGTCTTGTATTATGAAGAAATGTAAATCTTTGCGAATTCCACGAAAACGCCTCTCGTTATAAGTACGTGCGAATATAAAAAAGCAAGCCATTTCCTTCGTCGTTAGCAGTAAATTGCCAAGTTATAACATGAATTCAACGACGTGTTAAAGAAACAAAAAAACAAAACATCTTTTATATCTCCTGAATTAGGGAAAGATCGTAACGCAATCTCGTAACAATCGTTGTTTTCTTGGGAAAATGTATGATGTTTTCATCATTTGCTCACTTAGTATTATTGCGTTGAGGTAGTAATTAAGTCGTATTATGAAGTTGCTGGAAACGGTTTCACTCCCCGTTTTCATAAGCTATTCGCGGTATGAGATACGTCCTGTATACAACTACGGTCGAGCTGATGGATTAGATGCATTTAGATGCATTCTCCATATACACGATCTAATGCATTCCCATTAATTCCGTATGCTTCCTTTTATTTTCAGTACGTAATGGATATTCCTGTGTGCCGGTGGCGCTGGCCGACGGACTGGACATCAAACTGAATGCCGCCGTCAAAAAGGTGGAGTACAGTCAACGAGGCGTCGAAGTCACCGTCTGCAACAGCAAGAATCCCCAAGTCCTCAACACCTACCATGGTAAGAATATATAATATTTGCTTTCCTCTTAGACGCGCCCACATATCTTCGGACTCGTTTCACGTCCTTCTACAACTATCTTTCTCTTTTTTACATACATACACACAACGTTATTCCCATTCGATTCAATGAAAATGAGATTTTTATTGGTTCTCCTCCTCTGTCGCTCTTATCTTCAAAGATACATAAATGCGAGTGCAATAAAACCGGGATTTCTATATTGTAGTCAACGCGGCGAGGATTTCATGCATCTTCCATGGAATTCGTATTGACTCAGGACTGCTGCTTACACGGCTACAATCACCGATTAACCATTCGAGATTTCGATTCAACAAGCTATTTTCATATTCTTACATATCAGACAAAAAGAAATAAATTTGTTATCAAATGTTCGAATCATTAGTACATACCTTTTTCCTTTTGAATTACCAAATTATATTTAATTACTTAATCACCGATTAACATGTTATGTACATGATGATACAAGAAATAAGAACAAATAAGCCAGTATCAGAATAGTTCGATAGAAATCAGAAATAGGGTCGTAATCATTAAAAAAGAACAAATATAAAGAATTATCCTTCATCTATTGAGGTGCATTCACATTAAAGGTAACTTCAAACGTTCAGCATTTACGTTGAACCTTTCCTAACATGAAGAAGCGCTTCTTGATAAGGTTTTTTTTAATTTATCCATGAAATTTGTTGTTCTCTTCAGATAATGTTGATTCTTCAATTCTTTTTCACCTTCTGGACTTCGTATTTGCTTATTTTGAAAATTTTCATTATGACATTTTGATTATTTTTCTATCAATCACATAACTTTCATAGCTTCTACTGTTTCTAATTTTTTATATATTGAATCGCCTAGAATGTTGATTTCTAATTAAATGTAATATATTATAGTGTTCTCTAATTATCTTTATTTCGTTTTTTCAATATGAATGTGTTACTTTGGATATACCCATCACCTTCTATTCTTTTAAATTTCGTTGAAGTCTTTTGTTACTCAGTAAATCTTAATTGAATACATTATTGAAATCTTAAAATTTCCCGGGAAAATTTCGAGAATGATTCTCGTCCATCAATATCACCTTTTTCTTATACTTTTCATGATTCGTGTAGATAGTTCCTACATCAGAACTATGTAAATAAAGTTAATTAAATTATTAAAATAGTTAGTTAAAGTTTTTTATATCTACCAGATATAAGGTTCTGAAATCAGCATAAATATTGTAACATTATTTTACAAGTACAGAACAAACTCTATTAATGCCTAAAAAACTTTAAATTTGCTATATGTTTATATAATTCGTTGATTTCAAACAGATCCTAGGCGATAAGCAAGGTACTTTTATATTTATTGTTGTGATATAACCATTTTTTGTAGATTTTACTAAGTATCCACGGATTATGTCTTCATCCTTTCAGAAACATTTGAGTAATTTCTTAATAATTCTTGATTGATTGATGAAATTCTTTTAAGTGCATCAAAATGCAAAGTTTTGTAAGTGTTGGCATTCAATTATATATGTAAATTACAAGAAATATATAGTAAGAGGATTGCTTATAGAGAAGGAGAATCTCGTTTATTTTTCAGTTGTGATTATTAGAGCGAGATTGGTTTGCCAAGTAAGTCCATACGTTATAAGAGCCGGAGCTTAAATAATTTATCATCGTTTGAATTAATTTCCAACCGGACTTAGAAAAGGGGGGCCTGCATTATGTGTTTGTATACATATATAATGTATTTGCTGCATTTATGGATTAGGGCGTTCCACCTTTTCGTTTTATTTATCTTCCTTCACCTCCTCCTCTTCATTCTCATCCTCCTCCTCGTTCATCCAATTCTGCTCATGCTGTTTCCTTTTTTTTTATTTTCCGTTGCTGGTAAAGCGAAATCGAGCCATTCACCGTATGTATCTGTGTGTACGCAATTTAATTGGTCTTGTCAGAAGTCGGTGTTAGGCCGGATTTATGGGTCTGAGCAGCGGCTCCCGCAGAAATCGCATCCTCTACCATTTGCAGACAAGGAATAAATTGTAACATGAAATGTTCCAGCCGACGTCGTCCTCTGCACTCTGCCATTGGGAGTACTCAAGCTGGCAGCGGCCTCACCGAACGTTCAGATGAATACCGTCCAGTTTTCGCCGCCGCTTCCGGATTGGAAGACCTCAGCCATCCAGAGGTTAGGTTTTGGGAATCTGAATAAGGTGGTGCTGTGCTTCGAGAAGATCTTCTGGAATCCTCAAGCGAATCTCTTCGGACACGTCGGAAGCACAACGGCTAGCAGAGGAGAGCTTTTCCTCTTCTGGAATTTGTACAAAGCTCCGGTTCTTCTGGCTCTTGTCGCTGGAGAAGCTGCTGCTATTATGGAAAACGTCACAGACGATGTCATCGTCGGACGGTAAGTACTTCATCAATTATTTACTTATAAAATATTAATTGCCAAATAACTAGTCAATTGAAAGTATTTGTTAACATCTACTGTGGAAGTTCTTTAAAATAGGGCAATATCTAGCATAATTCGGGTAATTCGTAATTCCGCAATATCCCGGACTGTTTGAAACCAGAGTAATTGATGAATATATTTAAATTACTAAATAATGTTTAATGCTTCACATGCTATAAGTATTACTAAACATAGTATCAATAATACTACATTAACGTTGTTTCTATTATGTAAAGGAATTGAACAATAAGTGTCAATTTAAAGTATTTGACAATGTCTGTTGTGTTACATATAAATTATCGTTTTCAAGAATTTAAGAGATTTACTTAAATAAGATGTTTTTTTCCTATATAACGTAAACTGTACAAGACACTTCTTAATTTTGGACCACCCATAGTCGTCTAAATTGGACTGGTCAAATTGGAGGAAACACCCTGATATACATAACAATATAACTGAATAACAAGTACATATAACTATAAATCTAAATACAGTGGTCCATTCTGTGAGACCAGTTGCTTTGATTGGACCAATGCACTTTTTTTGCCATTCTTAAATGCATTTTATTGAAATATCAGTAATATTCTCTCAGGTAGTCCAAATTCGGAAACCCATAATTTTTTTCGCATATAATGTAAACATTACAAGACACTTTTTAATTTTGGATCACCCATAGTTGCCTAAATTGGACTGGTCAAATTGGATGAAACACCCTGATATACATAACTATATAACTGCATAACATGTACATATAACTATAAATCTAAATACAGTGGTCCATTCTGGGAGACCAGTTGCTTTTATTGGACCAATTCAACTTTTTTTTACCATTCTCAATTGCATTTTATTGATATATCACAAATTCGGAAACCCATATTGTTGTTTATGCATTAATTAATAAGATTTTAAATAAATACTAAAATGTAATATATTGTAGGTGTATTGCGGTCCTAAGAGGAATATTTGGTCAATCCGGAGTACCTCAACCAAAAGAGACGATAGTGACCCGATGGAGAGCAGATCCTTGGTCCAGAGGATCTTACAGTTTCGTGGCTGTGGGTAGTTCTGGAAGCGATTACGACCTTCTCGCCTCACCAGTTCTTCCGCCCACCGCATCAGGGGCGGCCGCGACCTCCGGTCCAGCACGCGTCTTCTTCGCCGGAGAACACACCATCAGGAATTACCCAGCAACAGTTCATGGCGCCTTCCTCAGCGGTCTTCGAGAAGCGAGTCGCATCGCAGATCAAATCATAGGCAATCCGTGTCTACCAGCACCCATCGATTAAACCCAACAGTTTCCTTCCGACTTTTACCCACGTTCCAATTGAAGTTGATGATGATCCTCATGACGATGATGATGATGATGATAATAATAATAATTCGATTTGGGCGAACAATGGCTCGGCGATTCCTCTTCTCTCGCTATTTTAAAACAACGGGAATCCGTCGAGCACATGAATCAAAACCTTTCAATATGCTAATGCGGACCCGGGCCAAACGCCATCAATCATCAGCGACACTGACATGACAAATCACCGGTGCCGGGCCACTTCTTCGTTCCTCTCTCGCGCGCCATTTCTCACAGCGAAATTACGAAATTACGAATGACAACACGAACCTCCACCATATCGCATTTGGAATTAATCCACACCCTTCTTCTTTTGCTTTTACTTTTGACTTATCCTCTTTGTTATTTCTGTTGCTCTTGATCTTTGATATGTGGGTGGGGGGGGGAGGTAAACCAAATATTTTCGGGAGCGTCGAGCTTGTTGCTGTTGCAAACGGGTTCCTTCCTTCCATCATTCCTTCGTTTCGTCCGATCGTTCGCTCTCGAAAAGGATGGAGGAAAGCGCTCCCCGAAGAACAAGTTCCACAAAACCAATCCGTCAACGAGAAATAATGAAACGTCAGCCGTTATAGCACACAACGGCATACTAATGAGCTATGCGCGCCGCAGAGAGCGAAATTAAAAAATAAAAATCGTAAAATAAATAAGAAAATTAAACGAAAAATTTCGAAAATGTTTCTACCTTTTCGACCGAAAACGCTTATTTGCAGACACATAAATTGACAATTTTGTACAGTAAATAAATATTAAATTTAATATTTGTTTTTACAAAAATTGACATACCAAAAGGACAATTCTAATAATTCTTTGAAAATTGACAAAACAATATAAAATCTCTCAACATTTTGTTTCAGTGTTATTTATATACTAATAATTAATAAAAACGGACAAGAATTATGTGATGATTATTTAAATTTTTTATATGTGAATTTAAAAAGAAAATCATCAAAAATCTTGTTTAATTAATTAGAAACATATAAATTAATATATAAAAGACAATGCTTAAATCACTTAAGAAAAGAACAAATTATACTTTAAAAATTGTACAAATCTAAGAAATTTAAGGTAGATAAATCAAATTTTCTCATTAAAACAGGAAAACTTTAACAAACTAATTCCTATATTTAATTTCATATTGGTTTATTCATTTCTTTGAAAATATTGTTTGATTCTTTTTTTTAAATAATAACTCCTAATAACTGACATTTGAATAACGTTTTCTTTTTCTCCAAAAATCTTTCAACGTCTTCTATAATTTCTCACTAATGTACGAAATTGGCTGACGATAGTTTAATTTGCATTTCTTGAAAGCAATCCTTTTGTGTATCATTAAAAACGGGTTCTTCATCTTCACAATGTAAATAATTTCTAAAAATCCTTGTCTCAAGGATATTTCATTTGCAATTCATGATAATATTACTAAGGTTTGAATATTTTTGGTTTCTTTAAAAAAAAACACAAAAAATACTGTCTGTTAAATCCAATATTTGAAATTGACTTTTTTTGTAAGTATTTGTTGAAAGCAATTACTGAAAATATCTATGTTAGAGAAAATAAACAATTTCTTATGACATAATTTGAGGAACTGATCTGTATCGATTGTTATTATTGATTTATGTATAAAAATAAGCAATTTTGTGTCTGAGAATACGAATATTTTATATAGAGTGAGAATATTGGGAGTTAGAGAGTGGTCATGTTTTTTGCTACTGGGAAGGGGGATAGAGTTGATTAAAATTTTAATCGGATCATTAATCTTTGGGGAAGAAGGCTCGGTCCGTCGCCGCCCAGTTTGGCGAACAATTAACTTTCAAATGTTTCAATCGCCAATTCCTGAGCGCTCTTCGTCCGTCATCGCATCATCATCACCTCGTCATCATCATCATCATAATCTTCTCTCGCCGAAACACTTGCACTCCATTAGAATTATGCAACGGAAATATATACATTGTGGTAACGATCTCCAATTAGGCGCGATCAAATATGCGCGTATAAATTCCTATGATGGATAACTCTCGAAAATTAAACGACGTTCTCTTTTTTTCCATCTACTAGACGCACCAAATTAACACTCCATCAATTTTTAGGCCTAATCATAATAAAGAGAAAACAGAGGAGGGATTTGAATGCATACTTTTTTCTGTCTCTCCAATGGATTGGAGGATAGTTGGAAGGAGCGGCGTGGACGAAAAGTAAAGAGGATTATTATTAATCGACGCAATTAGGAAACTTTGAATACGTAAACAGGCACCTTGCATACATGAGACGCGCGTTTCGAATTCTTCACTACCGAATCACCTTTTCTTCTTTATATATTTGGTATTCATTTCCATGAAAACACATAAAATTTCCTCATATATTTCTTGCATTATCTACTATTATTTGCATTTATTTCATTTTCTATTTGATGCATTTACTGATATTACTACAATTATTTCCATTTTTATTTCTATATCGTTAGCTTATATATTATTTCATTTGTTTCTACGTTAGTTAGGATTTTCTAATATTTGTTTTAATTTTAATTATATTTAGTTCACTTTTTATTTTTATTTATATGTTTGTTTCCATTAATAGAAGAAAACATATATTTAGAGGATTTACTGATATTATTAGTTATAATTTTCATTGAAATCGTGTGTTTTCAATCATAATTTCATTAATTGTTTCATTATGTAATTGTTTCCATTCAATATTTAGTGAATTATTTTAAATTGTTCAAATTCCTTACATATCTAGTGATTTTTTTCCAATATTTTTTACTTTTGTTTATGTTCATTCATTTCCTTCTTTATTTCTCCACTAAAATTCCTCCATATATTTATTGAATTCTCTATTATCTTTTAATTTTAATTTCTGCTTCTACTAAGTATTTTTTATTAATTTTGTCTTTGTTTCTTCTATTGAAACAAATAAAAATCACACATATTTGATGGAATTTCTGATATTATTACTTATATTTTCATTTCAATCATGTATATCAATATTTTTTTTTACTTTAATTTAGGGTATTTTGTTTAATTTTATGTTTGCTTCCTTGACAAGAAACAAATTTAAATCCCAAACTTAATTTTGGGTTAATTTAATGATATTACTACTTATATTTTTCATTTAGGTAATGTACTTCTTTTTGTTTCACTTAAGAAACTTGTTAATTGATAAAAAATAAAGATTAAATATTTTTTGAGAAAAAAAAAGTACTCCTTTACCTATTCATAATAAAACAACTTTCCTCAAAAAAAATCTGCAAATTCTTTAGCTTCTTCTTAACTAATAGAAATTATATCTATACAAAAATTACTATTCCTTAATAATATTGACACGGAGTTATATTATATAAAATATAGAAGGTTTTTGTACATAACTTTTAAATTAAAGACAAATCACTTCTATTATGTAAATCTATGAAGATTTTTTTCTTACATACATAATTTTATAATTATTTTATTTTATTGATTAATTTAGACCAAAAGGACAATTTGCAAGAATAGTCTTGTTTCTCTAATATATATATATATATTTATTTAATGTCTGTTTTACTATAATTCTATCATTAATTTGATGGATTTACTAAAAAATGTCATCAATAGAACAAAACTGTAAGAAAACACAGTTTTTATCACAATCACAAAATCACAATCTGAAGACTAATTGTTTTCTATTTAATTCAAATCTTGCGTTAATTTTGGGATATCCCTTATATAAGATTATTATTATTAGATTATTTTCATTTAAATTCTTGATAAAATATTTAACAGACACATCGGAAATTGGTTGAACTACGTGTTTCAGCGATTTCCTAACAGATGACGCACAAGCAAATTTAACCAATGACACGAACCTAAGAACTTATAACGCCGTCTATCCACGGTATAGTGAAGTTCATAGTTGAGCAGTTTTGGCGCTGCTTTAATTAATTGTTTAATTATGATAAAATGTTAATATTGGCTAATTCTAATTAAAGTATAACAAAAATGTTTGCTAATAGTCGAAAATTAGTTATATAATTAAAAGACATTATAATGAAAAAAGTCAACATTCTTAATATATTTGTAAATAAATAAATAAACTAAACAGTTTCTTGTAACTAACTTTCTAATAACTTTGTAACTTTGTAATAAAACTTTCTTCTTCAGCTCAAATAATTAAAATAAACAACTTCTTCTAACTAAACCAAAAATATTACTACTAAACCAAACTTAAACTAACTTCAATGATATATATACATACGGCAATACAGGTAAAATTATAATTAAGGTACAATTACCATGTTTATTTTTTAATACGTTTCTACAGATTTCTAGAAACCAAAGCTTGTATAACTAGTTTGGATATGATTAGAGTAGATGGTGCTTTTTAAAGCATTAACTGAAACATAACTATAGTTTTTCAAAACTTAAAATGCAATTATTAATAACTCGAATGTTTTACATGTAATTAATTTATTTGTCCTTTGCAGCAGTTGAATTTTATTTTTATTATTTTG